GCAGGCACTCCGGACCACGCGGGGAGCGTTCTGGGGACCCCCTCTGAGGCGGTCGGGGCGCCCCGGGCCTAATTCAAGGAGACTCGGTCCCCATCTGTCTGCAGCCGTGGCCCGGAGAACTTGCGGTCTTTGTCTGGCCGGCTGGTTCGAGCACGCGAATGAGAAGTTGTAGGGGCCGCTCTTCGCCCACACAGACCCCCCCAAAGTGTGCTGTGCCCCACCGCGCGCCCGAGCATTCCTGGGGCCCGGCGGGAGGTCTGGCCCAGGACCGCGTGTCAGGAAACTCACTTCCTTTAGGCGCTCGCTCTGCCCCCCTGTCCTTTACTTTAAAAAAAGAAAGACAGAAAAAGACTAGAAAAAAGGAGAAAGAGAAAAAGAGGCGATTTGCTAAATATAACCCGGAACCTCGCCAGGAGCCGTGGATCTTGAAATCCCGGGGCTCCCGCAATCTACTTGGGAAGTAGAACAGAACCCCAAGTAGACTGCCGCACATGGGACACCAGGCTTGTTCGGCTGCCTCCTGCGTCTGCAGGGGGAGGGGTCTGGGGCCGAGACCTGCCCTGGGCATCTTTCTTTACGCCCCCCAACCCCCCGTCCCAGGCATGCATGGTCCTGTGTGGCCATCCACAGCCACGCTATCCAAGCCCGACCAGAGGCCAGCCGGGAGTTCCCTTCCAAGCCTGCCGTCCGCCGAGTGGAAAAGTTTTAAAAATCTGTGTTCGTCTTAGAAATCCCCTATTAGAAGCGTCCGCATGTGGTTGCTTGGCGAGTGTCACACCTGGACAGCTTTGGCAAAGGAAAGGTATCGCCCGCGGGACCCTCTTCACAGCAGCCGAAGTTCATTATCGGCCGGATAGGCAGCACCTGTTGGCTGCTGGGTGTTATCGTAAGCAGGGCCTCAGCATATGGCGAAAGGAAGATCTCGCGGGTGGAATCGGTAAATCCTCCGGCCCTGAGGTGGTTGTGTAGATAGCTTCTGGTATCCATGCATGAGTTCACTTAACCCACAGAACCAGCCCGTAAACGCAGGGCGGGGACTGTGCCCACTTCACAGACCGGGACACTGAGGCTTCCCAAGCTCATGCAGGTAGGAGTGACCGGACTCGGGGCCTTGGGTGCGGGAGGCTCCAGCTCCAAAAACCCACGGCGCCTCCCCTCTTGTAACTGGCCCCCATCATTCACGCGTTCGCCCTCCCTGGCCCCTTGCTCAGACAAGACAGCGTGGTTCACTCTGCCAGGTGGTTCATTAGAATGCAAGGGACTGGGGACCAATCCCGTGTCACCCTTAGGGGCTGTTCGCCGGAGAGACAGCCTGGGGTTCGCACAACCCGCCCCCACCGGCGCTGGCCTCTGCCGGGGTCTGGGAGTGTCAGCACCAGCCCTGGTGCACGGAGCTGACAACTCCTTGGGCCTTCGTTCCTCTGTCTGTGAAGCGGATGATACCGCCTGCCTCAGGGGCCTATTGCAAGGCTTATCTAGCACCTGGCGGGTGCTAAGGGCTTGTTGCTATTTATTATTAATTATTATTTATTGTTATTATTATTGTTGTTATTATTATTATGAATGGCCATTTCTTGGATTTCTCACTGGTAACTAGATGGGCAGAAACATGTTGGTTTTGCTGTTTGATGCTTTGTACCGCAGTCCCTCGGGTGGAATTCACCATTTAGGGTTATTTACACTCATCTTTGTAACTTGGGGGGGGTCCCTGCTGGCTGTTCCAGGAAGGGGGCAACCAGGTTGCCTGGCAACACAAATCTTCAACCCAGATTTCACCTCGTCTGCCCCACCCCCGCTGAGAGACCCAGATCTTGTTCACCAGCCGGAACCCTCTTCTGTGAGATCAGTGCTCAGTTCCCCGGGAGGCGGGAGGCTGGCAGCGGAGGCGGCTCTATTGGTTCTCATTGTTCCCGGTACTGCCGGTCCCCAGCAGCAACCTTGCTGCATTCCCGTGGCTTCATTGTAACACTGATTAGGCACTGTGGGAACTTAACTCTTGTTTAAATCAGTAGCCTCTGGTAAAATGCGTTTCGTTACAGGCCATTTCTCTTAAAGTCGCAGAACCTAGCTGTATGTTTAGTGGGGACTTACTGCATTCGTAGTCTGCACTCCCCTCCTCCGCCCGCCCCCCCCAAACCCAGGGAAATGTGCAGGAAATCTCTCCCCATATATATCAGTGATTTCCAAGAGGAAGGGAGAGGGAGATAGAAGCATCAATGATGAGAGAATCATGGACCGGCTGCCTCCTGCACGCCCCACACTGGGGATCAAGCCCACAACCCGGGCCTGTGCCCTAACCGGGAACGGAACCGAGACCTCCTGGTTCTTAGGTTGACGCTCAACCACTGAGCCGCGCCGGTGGCCGGGCCAGTGGTGGTTTTTTAATGCTCTCGGCCACCTGAGCGACCTTTGGTCACGTGGTCTTGCATCTCTAACACACCCACCCGGTGAGCTGCCTGGTAGCGACATCTGGTGTGACGCGCAGCCTCTGTAGTCACCATGAGAGGAGAGGAGCGGCCGCCGGAGGCCGACTTCAGGGTCTGACCGCAGAAGCTGAGTGGAAGGGACAGCGCAAGGGAACAAGCAGGAAGACACCCCCCTCGCCCCCCCGCATCCGTTGTGCTTTCGCTTTGAGACTCAGGTGGCGACTCAGGTGGCGAGGCCGTCCAGGTGTTTAAAGGGATGTATGGTCCCTGGTGGGCATGGCTTGGCTGGTTGGACCATCGTCCCATACACCAAAGGTGGCGGCTTTACTTTCGGGTCAGGACGTATACCCAGGTTTTAGGTT